AAATTGGGAAGCATTAATTATTCAAATGAAAATCCATACAGCCGTCGATGACATGACGAGGTCGGTGCTCAACTGCGGCGTCGGAGGATCTTTAGTAGGAGACAGACCAAACTAAGGGCCTGATCTTCAAAGATCCCAAATATATATAAGCGGTGCAAAAATGAAGGTGGTCTTTTCTTTTTTGTATATGGAACAAGTGGCCGTGTTGCAGGTGACCTACAAAGATCTCCGCACAGATGTAAAGACATGTCAACCTCTTTGGTCCCGCCCATTAAACTGAACAGATTGCATAGTGCACCTTGCAAAGTGCTATTAACAAAAGTAAAAGACAATAACACATAACCTTGCTTGGTTTTGTGTTTGCTTAAGCAAATGATTAAATGCATAAAGTATATGAGGAATTGATTTTTACATGAAGCTTATTGACAAAGTTCTCAGACTGTTTTGCTTTTTATTGCTTTAAGTATATCTTTTAAGTTGCCTCTGAATAACAGCAAGAATTTACGTAGAGCGTTTTTAGCATCTAAAAAGGAGCACAAAAAATATAAGAATATTGTTGGGGGGGACAGAAGAGATGAGGGAGCTAAGTGTCTTTCACTGAGTCAGTGACAGCCGTGACCAAAATCGTATTAGGGTCACAATAGAGGTGGTGGGGTGGAGTAAAAAAGCTTTTAAAATAAATAAATTCTGCCTCTCATTTTCTTCTCTTTTTCCTCTCCACCACTCCTCTTGCGTCTCCAGCTGTAGCAAAATGTGTACACCCGAGTAGTATGCCTCAGTTATATCTTCTGAGGAGAAACATGAGTGGACATGGCATGAACAAATTACTTTGGGTGTACTGACGGCTGACCTTACTGCAACCCAACTTGGCCCCGTTTGGTCATTGGAAAATCCTGCTTGGCTGGACTGAAGCACAGGGAGTGCGCTGTTTCCTAGTTGGGGATTTCATCCACATCCTTTAGTCCCATTCTCACACCATCTCCCCCAGCGATTGCATCGTATACCAGCTTCTCACATCCCCAGCGCTAATGCCTTTTTTATAGATCATTACCTCCGCTCTCCCCTCGCCACTGTTAGTGATCGCTCAATCAGAAACACTGGCCTCTCCTGTGGTCCTTCCTGTGTGGCGGCAGCCCCTGGGAGGTGAGGAGGCTTCGATCAGGGCGCGTTAAGGCTGTTTGCTTTGATTTGATGCATACGGTCCACATGCAGTTCCATCTTTGGCGAATCGGTTGCAGCCCAGGGCAGTTGTTGCTTGTGCTAGTCGCAGACTTGTTGTGTTTCAGTGACAGCTCAAATGTTCGCCGTTAATGAGGTGTCACGCTGTATTGTGAGGGGCTTTAAGATCTGACAAACAGACAACTTCTTGAGAGGTTTTTCCCATTTTTTTGTACCTCTTTTGCCCAATCTTATCAAATAACTTTCTCATCTTTTAAGATTCAACCTCCTTTCACCTAGATGCTGACCTCTTTACCTCACACTTCAGAGGAGAGCAATCCTGTAAACTTTGGTAACAGGTTAATCCCATTTTATTTGATGCTGGATTACTGAAGTGAAAGGGACCACAGGGGGAATGCTCTCGCAATCCTTTTCTAAACCTTTAAATGATAGAGATAGACAAAACTCTTTGACCAACCTAAGGGTCTTTTGTAAATGATATATACAAAGAACAGGCTTCTTGTCCTGATTCAAATAATTTTACTGGATAATCTACATTCACTTTTTAATACCATTCATATGAGTAAATCAATGCATGGTTCTCAAAATGTTTCACAACAAAAACTTTAAAATTTAATGGCATTATGTCTGTTTAGTTAATGTCTGTTGATATATTGTTAAAACCCCCCATAGGTAGAGGTTCTATAAGCTACAACCTATACAAGTTGAAACTTAAGGATACTTCTCCAGGAGCTTTAGACATCTTTACACTGAGTCTCTTGCTAGGTCATCTTTGCAAAATACCCAAAGCTCAAAACGAAAGAAATAGCACTTCTTAAGTGTTCTTGCAGATTTCCAATTCCATTAGTTATTTTGAACTTTGACTGGGCCTTTCTTTGACATGGTTTGCTGGAACCTTTCTACTAAACCTCCAGTTATAATTTTGTTGTACTGCTTTAAAGTGAACCTTTGCTCCAGACATTTTGTTTTTGTATTAAAGCTTATTCGTGGAACTATTTCATTATTGCCCTTGATTTGACTTTATGAGTCCTCTTCAGAGCATGATGATGTCACCACCTTGATTAATTATAAGAAAATGTCCCTAGGGTGTTTTCTGCCTAACATAGTATCTCGTCTGTAAACCCAAATGTAATTTTGATTTAATTTGATCTGATAATATGTTCTTGGCTTGTGGAAAAATAAAAATGTGACTTTGTTTTTGCTGAACTGACTTTTTGGTTATTGTGTTGAAAAACCCCCATACCCCCTTTCCTGTCAGCCTGTCAGCCTAAAAACTCAAAAAGAAAAGAAAAAAAACAGGAGCAACATTTCATTAAATAAAATCAGTTGGATAGAAGAAAGTATCTATATGCCTAAATCTATGGTTCAATAAAAAAAATAAGACTTTAAAAAAAAGACAAACTTTGAGAAACAAGGCTTAACTAGAACCATACATATTAAAGACGATGGTAAAGGAAGTAAAAGACAGATCTTAAAAATTCACCCTTAAAGAATAGCGGCAAAAGTTCTTGTGTGAGATTACTGATTTGCAGTAACTCGAAATAGGGATGGGTACTTCTCACATTTGAACAAATGCGCTACTGGTGCCCAATTTTCTGATCATATTGAACTCATCTTAAACACGATCTTTACTTACCTGGAGAAGATGCGGCTGCCTAACTTGTATTGTTATTGTCGCCACTGCTATAATTAATTGCCTCAGACATTTCTTCTCCCAGGTTGCTAGCTGCAAATAACTAGTCACTAACAGGCACAAACACGTAATGGAGTTAAATGCATGTAATGCAAGAGAAAGTAAACTGCCTGTGATTGGCTACTTTTCCTATTGCTTGAGACGGTATGGTTTTCTTCCTGGCTGTGGCTGGTAATGTTAGCGAAGCATCTTTAGGCTAATTGTTCTCTTCAAGAGTAACATATGACCTCATAGTAAACAGACATCTCTGTTATTACCTAAAAAAGGTAAACACGACGGCAAAATGATTAGGAACGTCTATTTTCAACTGTAGGTTGTTTAATTTTGGGTTGTTTTGACACAGAGGCTAGTGGAGGCAAGTATCCCTTAGGAACTAGCGAGCCTGACTTAGCGTGATTCAATATGGCCGTTGATTCTGAAAAGATCTGGAGTTTCTTTGAGCTAGACATGTTTCACATTCTACAAAATTACAAAAAGATCAGCGCTTTCCTAACATACTAGCCACAGCCAGGAACAAGATGGAGCAATAGGTCTCAAGAGGTTAGATTTCCTAAAAAATAGCCAATCACTGGTGGTTTACTTTTTCTCGTTGGTTCCTGAAATTGACAAAATTCAACTCAAACATGCAGAACCACATGCACTCCTGAGTTGGAATGAGGATACAGGCACAAAAAAAAGCCAGCCATTAGGTTAGAGAATGAGCATGCACTCATGTATGTGATATATTGGGGGGATCATGGTATTGAATCTGTCTCCAAAAAGTTTTCAAAATATTAGTAAGTAGTTTACATGCTTGTGTTTGAATAAAGTGCTAGTATGAGTATTTAGTACGTGCATCCACATCTGGATGAATTCTGATTTTATACACAATGATGTGTTAAAGTAATAAAACATGATGTTTTGCTTGAATAGGAACTCTGTCCTGATGGAACTCGACTAGTACCAATACAAGTACCTACTTTGGTATCTATAATTAGTGGAAATTGAAATTAAGTTTTGAGGGATGTTAAAGCTTGGCTCCATGGAGTTCAATAACTCAAAAAAAAGCCTTTCCCATCTGCTGTGTTTTGCTAGAATGTCTTTTTCTATCCTTTTACTAAGGTATGGTGTAATTCCATTCATTTTTCTATCATCACATCTTTGCCCTCAGAGCACAGTGAAGAAGTAGTGCTGGTCCTCCATGCGGTACTCCTAAATGGGTTAGGGTTAGCATCCTGCTCCCTGTTCTGCTTAAGAATTAACAGCAGACTGAAGTACCATCACAACATTGACAAAAATGAATTTTCAGTGGACGTTATTAATTCATCGGATTAAACACATTTTTCTCTAATAAAAAAATGTTCACAAATAATGGTAATTTGTTTATATGTTGATGTCTCTATGCTAATCTTTGCTAATTTTAATCACTTTCTTTCATAGAAAACTTTTAAAAATGAACCGTAAAATTCTCCTTTCAATTAGGACATGTCAGCTTCTCTTTGTCACTGCAAAATGGGAAAGACAATATAACATGGATTTCATGATGGAGAGACATGTTGGTAAAGACAGTAGTTTCCCACATAAACAACGTAACATATCTATAGAGATAGAGTAAAAAGTACAGAGTTAAACAAAATTTTAACTGTGGAAACCTGGAGGAATTCTCATGTATCTTTCTGTTGAAGAATTTCTAAAGGGTGTCATTTTGAGGTCAACAAATATCGATAAGAGTATTTGTACACGATTTTTTCCAGGGGTACCAATAATTTTGGTGGGTATGCATGTTAGCAACCGCTGGTTTTATTCAAAACATGCTGCAGAGGAGAACTTGAATTATTACATATGTCCTCTAAACGTTTTATAATGTTCCTGTTTTGTTGAATCACAAAGGTTATTTGAATTCTTGAAATAATATTGTAAGAAATGTATAGTTTCACAGTTGCCTCAAATTACATTACATTGTCATCTTCTCAGTAGGCTTTCTTGTATTGTTTCATTTTGTTTCCTCTCTCGAATCTCATAATGAAATATTTATTGTTTTTTTCCTCACTAACCCACTTCTTCCCTTGTTCTTTTATTAGACTTTGAAATCAAGACAGTTCTTACAGTAATTAATCTGTTCTTTCTCTCTCTCTCTCTCCCCCTCCATGCCTAAAAATAGAAGTGGAACAAAAAGGTAACTAAATGCCAACAACTTTTGTGTTTTTATTCCTGCATTTCAGTTTCTCTTTCTTTCTTTTTTTTTGTTGCATGCTTTGGTGACGGGTTGCATATTCTGGCATACATCTTTGCTTATGTGGATCAATAAACACGGTGTGGTTAGAACATTAAAGGTGTTAAACATGGACTTTAATAGCTTTTAGTGATTTGTTCATACATGCATACATACAGATAAACACACACACATGCTAATATTTGGTGAATAAGAGGCTTAAAAACACACCGGCTTATTGAAAGTGTCCACAACAAGTGGTATGTCTGAATAGGCTCGGTTGTTTAGCATAGTTCAGACATTTTCAATCCGGGTAGTCGGATTTAATGTTAACTATTTAAACTGTTTTCTCGTGTTATTTTTTGCTGTATCATCCTGGTGGGACACTGAGACTTAGAATGTCTTTGTTGTAATTGCACAAAAAACAAAAGTTTAAATCGGAGAAAAACACCTGGTTGCTTGGCTCCGGACAATAACTGAACAGATAAAAACTCTTGGTATATTAGATATATAAATATAGATATAGTGCAACATATGTCACAATTCAGAACAGAAGGACGCAATATTCAGGCAAGACAGACAGGGGGATTACTCAAAAAGCATTTATTAAAATAAATTAGTCTGTGAGAGCAGTTGCTAGGACGTCTGAAGCAGGAAACTCTGGAGAATGAGGTAGGATCCAGATGGTGGGCTGCCAACAAGATGCGATGGGCCCCACCCAGAGTGTCCCAGATGCTTCAGCCCTGGAGAGCAAGCAGGAGTTCGAAGACAGGTCAGGCAAACAGATCAGAACAGAAACATGCAGGCTGAGAGGTCCAAGAATCTGATGCCATGTCAAACAAACGGATCAGAACAGGAACAGCTAGGATCAGTGGTTGAGACTCAGAACAGGCCAACATCAGGAAATCAGGAACACTAAGGTATGCTAAAAACACTCACCATTGGCACAGGAGAAAATAAATTAATCTGCACTGATGACTGGATATAAGCGCCTTAAATAGAGACAGAAGCAGGTGGATCAGATGAGCAGTGATGATGAACTGGGCAGAGTTAGACAAGTGAATAAAGATAGTAATTAAGCCAGTCATTAGCACCCTGATTATGACAACATATATAAATATAAAATATAAAATGTAGGAGCAATAGCAGCAGTAAATATATTGCACACACAGAGTTTTTAAGATGTTTTGGGGTTGAACACCCTGACTGCCAGGGGGGATTAAGTGTTAAAATATCTACTGATGTTCGTGTGAATACTCTGGAACCTCCTGGCCGATGCCAGCGGGGCAGACAGTGAATGCAATGTCCTGGATTGGGGTGCAGATCCCAGACCAGACAGAGATGTAGCTGGTCAGCCCCTCTATAGAGGGGCACCTAATTATGTCTGTCTTAGACATCTGGTTTTGTATTTGAAAAGAAGTTTCACAGTCAGTCTTCATTTTTACATCCATTTCCAGATTTGGTACATCCCTTGCACAGAAACATGATGCTGCCTTCACTGTTCCTGACAGGTTAGACCTGTGGTTTTCAGTTTGAAAACTTCCTCATAACTCCTTCAGGAATCACCATTAATCGCATGGTAATGGGGAGCTAGCACTGTGTATGGTGTCCTTGGTTAAGAAGCAGGACAGACATTTGGACACAACTGGATGTTTCAACAGAAAAACATATCAAATACACTTCATAGCTGATTTTAGAATGATTAAAGTAGAATTTATTGACCAAAACCTAAACCCTAGTCAAATTATGTGAATTAAGACACAAAAGCAAGTCCTTGCTAAAAAAAACCCCTGCCTATTTAAAAGATATTTATCAATTCTAAAGAGAGCAATATAAAAAAAATTAAAGTAAAGGAACTATTGAAGTGAATCACAAAAAGCCCAGAACTAAAGTGACCTTCATGTTCCTGATTATTCTTGTCTGATAAGAGGTTATTTGAATGTAGAATCAAATAATTTTTTAAGAAAAGTATTTATTTTTACCCGAATTATTCTCATTTGTTTGCAATACCTGCAATTTTCAGGACACGAAACAGTAGTTTTGACATAGCTACACATGGGAAATAAACATTGCAAACTGTTCCCTGTGGAAATTCCATAATGCTGACATGTTTTTATTCCCTGTAATAACAGAAAATAATTCTGGCTCTGCTTTATCAGCTGCATACTATTAAAGCAGAAAGCTATACAGCGTGATCAATAGCTTGTCCGATTAGCTGTCAGCATATTTCAGATACCTCTAACGTGATGATGGCTATAACCTTCAGGGACTCGCACGTCAATACAGGAGATAGATTATTGCAGTTGCAATCTTACATTATCAGCAGTGTATGAAGCTGGAAGCTTCTGAGAGTTAAATGAAAGCTGAACTGAAGCCGAAGATGATAATGAAATCAGACTTTAATAGTTGTGCAGTACATTTTAGGGAGAAATAAATGTGTTCGTGCCTAGAAACAATGATGATTTCTTGCTCCTTTAATATCTTACACTCAGAGTCTTCGTTTTAACAGTGATATCATTAGAAAGCTCTTTTCTTTCACAACCTACACTGAGCCCAGAGTGCTGTCAGAACAAAGCATACAGTCTCTGACCTTATAACCTAGCATGTCTTGAGTTTTTTATTTTTATTTTATATTACCCAAGCAGACAAAACTGCTCCCTCAGCATTTAGTGGTGCAAACGCTGAGATGTGTGTTGAGGCGCTGTGTCACCAGGATGCATCTTGACACGTTTTTCACCCTGCAGGTAGACAACATGTTTAATCTTGGGAGATTACATTGAGGGAGAAAAAAAGAGGCCTCTGTTTTTACTGTCTCCTCCCCCCCTTCAGAGCGGGTGGCTTGCATGAGCTCAAAGCTGTCAGCGCTCTGTCAGGCTGCTGCCCCATTTTTACTCAAATCAGCCATCTCAGCTCACTCACACATACTCTGGGCCCAATCATTATTTCATTTTGTCATTTTTCTTGTGCTGAATATTGTATTTATAAATCTACATTTTAAAGGGTAATTTACTGTGACTTTGCTGCCATTGTAACTGAGAATTCAGATGTCACCTTTTTAGAAAAGAGAAAATTGCTATTGCCTCAGTCCACCAGTAATCAATAGGTAACTGAAATTGGCTTTTTGCAAATGGTGCCTTCTATTGACCACTCTCAGCTGCACCGCCATGGCCTTGCTTGATCAGACTGGAGCACAAATCAGTTCACTTATAATTTGTTTAGTGTGTGTGTGGGGCTGTAAATCATACCTCAGATTTTAAAATGACATTTAGATGAAATAATGGAAAAGCAGTCATTATAGAAATGATGTCATTTTTATTTATTTATATTTACATTTGAATCATTTTCATTTTCTCAAAGAGCCTGGCTAAGCCAATAATTGCTGCACAGCCATTTATCAAAATTTGGGATTTCTGTGTTTTTTGTTAATGCTTTCCTCTAGACTCCCTCTTATAAGGAGGCACAGATTTAAATGAAATCTTCAATGCCTCCTTTTTACATTTGTTTTCGAACAACAGTCATTTCATGTAGAGGAGGAATGAAAAAAATGATTTTTGTTTTTGTGTGTAGGCGAGTAATGGTGCATGTTGTTGGTTTTAACACTGTCTCTGACTTCTTTGTGCTCATGAAGTCAGGAGATATAACCTTCACTAAGTTTATTATCTCCTTTGCAAACACGTTGCCACTTTAAGAAACACTATTGATAATTTATTTTAGGGTCAGGGAAAAAGTTGAACTAGAAATATTCATTCTGCTGCAAACAATAAACAATAGAAAACTGCAGTGAGAAAACTAGTGACAATATCCAGTATAAATTGTACTCTCTTTGTTTGTTTTATGCTTTTAGATCACAGTCATTGTTTCCAAAAAGATAATTTCAAATACAAAGCAGTATTTATAAATTTTCTTCACATTATTAGCTATGTATAACCTTAAGCAGTTTTGTATTTTAGTAAGATTCTATGAAATGATTCATGATTTTACAGTATTTTCAAAATAACATACATAAACCATCTGCATCACTGATAACAAATAACAGAAAAAGACAGGTCAGTGATAAAGTTGTTGAGAAGTTTGAAACAAGCTAGGCAAGAAAGTGTAGGATAGGGTACATTGGCAACCTTTAAACATACCGCACCGACTTAAAACAGGACAAGGACAGCATTAATTAAAGAAGCAGACAGGCATTTCTAGATGATCTGCATATATCGACAATAAGGAGGATTTGAAAGCTGTTCTAAAATATTAAAACAATTACATGAAATCCTGTTGTAATATGGTAAAGCTTGTGCTGGACATGTCAGGGAGTTATCTGTCAAAGCTGAGAACATAACACCCAGTTTTTGAAGGAGACAGACGGATTTCCCAAAACCGTTTGTTAAGAAAATTGATCTGCAGTGGTCTAAGGCAGTAACATCTGCAGGAAAAGAACACAGGTTAGTGACTACGTCTGTCTGGCGGAGGAGGATAATGAACGTACGCGTCTCTAAACTGGCCTTATAGTTCAGTCCGTGCCCAGAGGATGAGGTTGGTTCCAGCCGGTCGGCTGCCGACAAGACGCGGCAGGCGCTGGACAGAGATTTCACAACAGTATAGTCCCGTACGTCTGAGGACAGGCAGAAGATCAGAATCAAGCAGATGAAGGAAGGCAGGATAATCGAGAGGGCAAAGCCAAAGCCGGTGTGGAGGACGTGCTTAGGAGTCAAAGCCAGGAGATCAGAAGTACTGAAAGACAATCCAGATCGGTGTCAGGTAGCAGATCCAGGTTTGGTCAACGGGCAGAATCCAGCAGGATTCCGAGGATAGGTCAGGCAAACAGATCAGAATAGGAGCAGCCAGGCCCAGAGGTCCAGAGGCAGAACAGGTCAGGATCAGGCAAACAGAAACACTTAGATACACTAGAAAACTCTCACCAAGGGCTTGAATATTCTGGCACTGTTGAATGGTAGAAGGCTGGTTAAATACAGGCTGGAGCAGGTGGATTGGATGATTGGTAATGAGAGACCGGGCAAAGCTAAGCTGTGAATGAAATGAGTAATCAGGCTAGTCATCATCCCCAAGATCATGTCAGTATCACATGTTTTGTGGGCATTGGATATTCTGCATATTTATAGGTATACAAATCTACAGTTAGAATATGTCCTTGATGTACTTTAATTGAAGCAATTCCTGCCAATGTAACTCTGTGATTGTCTTTTTCTATTTTTGGCTCCTTAGTATTCCTGTGCCCAGGGCTTCTACGCAGGGTATACCAGAGCGAGCACCTTTTTGAATCGGACCACCAGTCCGGAGCCTGGTGCAAGGACCCCCTCCAGGCTTCCGATAAGATATACTACATGCCCTGGACCCCCTACCGCACGGACACCCTAACTGAATACTCCTCCAAGGAAGACTTTATTGCTGGAAGGCCAACAACAACCTACAAGCTGCCACATCGCGTCGATGGTACTGGCTTCGTGATCTATGATGGGGCGCTGTTCTTCAACAAGGAGCGCACGCGCAACATAGTAAAATTTGACTTGCGAACTCGCATCAAGAGTGGCGAGGCTATCATACCAAATGCCAACTATCATGACACCTCTCCCTACCGCTGGGGGGGTAAGTCGGACATTGACCTAGCTGTGGATGAGAATGGACTTTGGGTGATTTATGCCACTGAGCAGAACAATGGACGGATTGTCATCAGCCAACTAAATCCCTACACACTCCGAGTGGAGGGGACATGGGACACAGCTTATGACAAGCGCTCAGCATCCAATGCTTTCATGATCTGTGGGATTCTCTATGTGGTAAAATCAGTCTATGAGGATGACGACAATGAAGCTACAGGAAACAAGATTGATTATATCTACAACACTGAGCTCAGTAAAGATGGCTTTCTGGACATACCTTTTCCCAATTCATACCAGTACATTGCAGCTGTGGATTATAATCCCAGGGACAATCTGCTCTATGTGTGGAACAACTATCATGTTGTCAAGTACTCGTTGGACTTTGGAGCGCTAGACAACCGAATTGGTAAGACCAATATTATTTATTTATTTATACATTGCACACAGCACCGAAGTTTATTATGAAATGATGCTTTTAGATCTGATATAGACAGTGTGACTCAAATACAAAGCCTTCCCACTACTTGGTGGTATTCAGTTTATATGTATACTAAAGATGCCATGATCTGAGGATTGCGGCAGATTCCCAGTCGTATGTGCTATTAATGCTCTGACCTCGTGATTCTGATATAAGCCAGTTGTAATTTCTCTCTGTAAATTACAATATAAGAAGATATACTTTTTCTTATCTGATACTCCATTAATTATTTTCCTTTGTAGCAGAGCAACAGTGTAAGAGAGTTTGTAAAACAGGTGATTAGCATTACCTTAAAATGGTTTTCCTTGCCATTTTGGACACTGTCATATTGGCAATTGTTATCCCTGTCATAACAATTGAAAAAAAAAATGTAAACATATCCAGCTTTTAGCATTTAGAATTTGCATTACATTGGCTTTATTCCATCCTTATATTTGCTCAAATAGGCAGCCTTTTATAATGGCCAAAATCATTCATGTTTTAGTGTTCTCTCAACAGAAAGTAAAACATTTAGGCCAAAGTGGCCCATTTACAATTAGATGCATTTGTCATTGTGGACCCTTTTAGAAATACTACTACATACTGTACGTGTTTGATAAAAAGGTTACAAAATCCTAAAACATCTTAAAGACAGCTAATGCTACATTATCAGGCCCATGCAAAGACAAAAAAAAGTCAGTTGACCAACAGCTCCGTTTTCATTCAGTTGCGCATACGCAGCAGCCATGAAGCTTCCCATAAGTGAAAATATCTTGGCTCTGTTCTGCACAGAATATTCTATCTTTTCCCCTGAAATGGTGTCAATATTGTTTTCAGCTCCTATAACAGCGTAATTTAGTAATGCTGTACTCACCACAAGTTTCTAACATGAAATAATCTCTTTCAGTTAAAAGTTTTTATTAATGTTCGCAGCACTCATGACAGCACTCATTTATAGATTAATTTTAATTGCTTTAAGATGAGTTTGAAATCTTAGCAGGCAGCTGATAAAAATTAGGATTCTGCAGAAACTATTTTTACTTGAATATATTCCTATGACAGCTGTTTTCCTTCTTTTAAATGTCTAAAGAACAATGGAAAGAAAGCATCAACATAACTATAAAGTATTTTTTTGGGTTGGGTCCCCAGGGGATTTCCTCTTTCAGATTTTAGAACTTCAATAGGCACTCAGGCAAAATCATCTTTTCAGTAGTGTTGTGAGTAGACTAATCAGCCTATTTGGGCTCTTAGAAAAGATAAATTATTTTACTTGCAGTGTGTTGTTTATTTTGAGTCTGTGTCCAAATTATTCTGTGGTGGTGAATTTTCTGTAGCTCTCCTTACTTATACTTTGTTAAATGTATAGGAGAGACGAAATTAAAAGCGAAATATTTCCTTTTTTTTAAAAGAAAAAAGACTTAACATGGAATAGGTGTATTTAAACCTATGCTGTTACTATAGGGAAAGTAAGGAAAGATGATCCTGATTATACTATATTAATTTAAAGTGTCCTCTACACTTAATTATTTACCCTATGCTAAAGATTATGGCTGAATTATTTTGCCAAAATTTAAATTGTGATTATTTTCAATAAATATTGCGATTACAATTTTCCTTTGCAATAAACACAAACATGCACATATTTAGGGTCAATTGTTTCAGGACTTTACTGTAACTTTTGTGTGAATAAGTGCTTACTTCTGCTATCATGCTTGAATCTGCATGCTAGCTGCAAGTCTCTCTTCCCTTCTGTGTGGCAAAAAAAAACACTTTAACTGTATTACTGACACCTAAGTGACTGGAGGGGGAAATTCAGCTTCTTCTGAAAACATTTTTGTTGTCAAAAGCACTTAAATGCTTGAACTTGGGCGCTGGGTTAAACGCTTGCCAAGATGCTTTGATGCTCAATGCTCTCGATGCTATGTGCTCTAATTGTATATTTTGTTGTAAGCTATAGAGCAGCTTGGCTTTATTTACTTTGATGAGTTGGAAAAAAATTGTTTCAACACATTTTGAAGCAAGAAAGTCAACCTCAAAACATAATTTGTGCATTGAGTTGCTCATTTAAAAAATCCCTGTATGTTAGTAAATCACTGGTGAAACTATTGAAGGGCCATTCTTTAACATGGGAGAGAGAGAGTACAGAAAATGCCCTTTGAGGCAGAAGATGAATGTTGATTATCAGAAAACATTACAGGAAATAGTTACTCTCCTAAAAACAGCCATATTCACAGTCATAGTAAAAACGTGGTAGCTACCACGTTAAGGACTAAAAAAAATATTTTATAAAGTTCAGATTAGTCCTATGAATATATTTTAGCTAGGGAATTTCTGATCCTAATCAAATAATTTGTTGATAATGCATCTATCTAATAATGTAAACAGATCAGTTCTCTCTTTTAAAGTTTGCGCTCGATCACTGTTGCCGATGAGGCATCTCTAGATTAACCAGAAAGCCCCACAACCCCAGCATCTAAAAGTCACAACCTGTGCTTTTTTTGCAGAGATTAAGTTTATTAAGTCTTGGCTTCAAAACCATTTTCTCATATAAACACAGTTGGTAAAAATGGTTTCCAGATGTTAAGGTGAAAAAAAAAAATGAAAAAAAAAGCAACAACTGAAATTTGCTCAATTTTCTCTCACCAATCTATTTAGAACTTTCTTGAGTTTAATTTCCACATTCATTTTATGAACCAGAGCACGTTTTTAGGCTTAAGAGGAAAACAACAACAGTTTTGACACACCAAGGTAATTCTTTGCGCTATCTCATCAACAGCTTTAGTCAAAAATGTCACAAGTTATTTGACTGTGAAATTCCTACTTTGGTTTTTCTTCTCTGTTTTTTATTTTTTTCTACCTTCAAGCTGGCAGGTGAATGTATTTCCCTCAACTTGCAGCAACGTTTTACCTCAATCATCCATTTTTCTTTTCTTCTTCTTTTATTATTTGTTTCTTTTTAGCACACAGTGTTGCTTTAACAAACCCTATAATGTATTCATCCTTTCAATAACCCAACACAGTTTTTGGTTTTTGAGATATATATCGTTTCTGCGTTGTAATTTGTTGTAATTAAAGAGAATGAATAGTATGTTGTTTGAATATTCAGCTGAAAATGTTTTAACTGCTGTTATCCAGATCTATGATTATAGATAGTAAAATGATGCATTGAGTAGATAGATAAAGTCGGAAAATAATAGTTAATAATTAAAAGGACCCCTATATGATTAAACATTCATTTAATACTCTTTCAGACTTATTCTAAGTACGCTTAGTGTTGTTAACTCTGCACATTATCACCACACTTATCTCCTTAGATGCCTAATTTTGAAACGGCAGGACAATTACAACCAAATTGTTTGAAGCAGTGTCAGTTGTCTCATTTCACTGCTCACAAATAGGTCTGTATTTGCAGCTGTCACGTTGAGTTTGCTGCTGAGCTGACAATGCACAAAAATCACAAATGAGGCTAAAAATTCTGATGCTAACATCAAGAGGAATTTAGGAAAACCCACTGTGATTATTTACATGTGTTACTGTCACTTAGCAAGGCCCAGAATTTGACTTGAAAGAGCTAACAAGGTAGAGAAGCCTAAGTTAATGTAGCATCTTCCTTTAGGTGCCTGCAGGAGCTTGTGAAATTTGATGCGGTGTCATGATCACAGTGCCTGTTATCACTTACCAAAAGGTGTTGTTGTTGTTCTGATTGGGCTAACGTTAGCTCATTTCCAATTGTGCTTTATATTGCGTGAGCACACGGCTGACCTGCAATATCAGTGGAGCGCACTGGATGATCAGCAGAGCAGGAGAGAAGAGAGGCTGGCCCCACAGCTGATGCCAGGGTTTCACAACAGGCACAGCACATGCTGTTAGGCATGGGCACTCTGATAATATTTGTATCAAAACATAGAATATGGCCATATCATAACAGATACATTACAAAATAATCCTGCCCCCCTTTTAAAATCAGTTTGATTATGTTCTCATTTTACTGATTAGATTTTTTTTTTAATCATAGTTACCCAAAAGCTGGTTGCCGATCAGGGCAGATTAAGCTGAAAATCTTAAAGGTATACTGGAGGATGTTCTTTTTCTGGTTGGATCATCAAAATAACTGTTCTGTTGATATGTTTATGTAATGCTGTCCTACGTAGTCATCCTCATTTTCACTTACTGGTGATGAGTCTGACATAGTGGAAAAATTGCAAATCTTTTGGATGTTTTGTGTGAGCGATGCCAGCAACAACTTTCAAAAAGAGCGTGCAAAAGGAGAAATCGCCTTGTGCACGCTCTTCCACACGTTTAATAGATGTTCCCTTTTGGAAACAAGTAGAGGGTTGTGCATGTGCATTTTTTTTAAAGTGGAGAGGACGGGTCTTTTCAAATATTCATGAAAATCCTACATTATACCTTTAAGGTTCCATTTATCAGTTGATTTCTTGGAACATCTCAAGCCCATGCGTAAATGCATATCGTTCCCAAAGCAACTTTCCTTAAATTTGTTTATATAAAAATTAAAGGACATGAAGAATCATGTGGAAAAAAAACATCCACAGATGTTTTAAGTTACCGCTCTTTGCTTGTTTGATTACAGCAGATAATTCTCACCTCCTCCGTCTATGTATGACTCACCTCATACCTGTCCCCCATGAAGAGCCCCGCTCAATTTAAGAACGTTAGGCCCAGCTGAATAGCACAGTGAAAGCTACATACAGCTTCACATACAGCCAACACAGTTGGCTGTATGTGAAGCTACATTTAACTGGTTGTTAATATATCATGAAGATACAGCCCAATGTGCATGGGAAGTCATTTAACCCCATTCAGATATGGAGTTTGTCACGGTTGTGCACTTTTTGGTTCTTTTTGAGTTCTCATTGGTTTAATTTGATTTCTTGTGTATTTCTTGCTTACACTCTGTCACCCTCTTTTGCCATTCTCCTTCCCCTAGC